GTACCTGCTCTCTCTCCAGAGGAGGACTAGAGACACAGGCCCCAAGGGCTATGTAGGTGTGACTTTATTTGTGGAAGAGGAAGGGCACGTGGGGCAAGGCCCTGATTTTAAATTCAAGCAGTGGTTAGGTCCACCATACTCTGGTGAAACACACACCCTGTCCTCCAGTTGTGCTCTAGCCTGTTTATTTTGTTAAACACTGCTTGACTGTCCCCTCGAGTCACCAGGAAAGAAGGCAGCTGCTATGTAATAGGATCCCAGGGAGCTGACTTTGCCCAAGGTCACTGGTGAGTCACAGGGCTGGATTTGTTTTGAAGGCCCTGGCTCTTCCTGTCTACCTGCCCATTACTCTAACCCCCTCCTGACCCACGTGGGCTGTAGGCAGGAAGGCTATAGTGGCTTCTGACCAGCTTCCTGCTGTTGTCCCACCTCCCTCCTCCTCATCAGGTCCCTGTGAGTTAGAGGCACTTCCCCACTGTCCCAGTCCCTCTGTGTGTGCATGGTCCTACCTGCCAGCCTCTCCTCGCTGACTTTCTTAGCTTCTAGACACATCTCAGACAGGCCTCCAACAGGGCCCTCTAGTGTCCAGCCAGGTCTTTCCCATAGACAGCAATGATGCTAGTCCAGATGACTAAGGTCAGGCCCTGCAGGGCCTTGCAGTGCCAGCTGCCTCATTACCACCCGCAGGTACACAGGCCCTCTCAGGAAAGCCCTGCATCCTCCAGTGGCTGCTGTCAATCGTAAGTCACCTGATTCCAAATTCCAAACTTCCTCATTCTCCAAAGGTGCTTCCTGAGGCTGTTCATGGAGCTGTCCTGGCTGGCCTCACGGGAGAGACAGAAAGGGGGTATGAGTCACCCCTTCCCCAGGTCTGAATATTGCTCTGAACCCAGAGCCAAGTTCAAGAGCTATGTGGTGAGCAGGCAGCCCTTGGGGGATGGAAGAATTTAGGACAGAACCTTCTGAGCTGGGCTGCACTTGTTAAAGCCTCTTTGGTTGAGTGGAGGATGAGTGGCTTTGCCTTGGGATCACCAACCTGAGCCTGATCACTGAGGCAGAGGGGGACAAAGAGCACAGCTTTGGCTGGGCTTGTGGTCAAAATTCAACCAGAACGGGGAAGTGATAAGCCTTGGGCAGCTCTGATTGAAAGAAACAAAACTGAACACACTAAGGCGGGTGGTAATAGGAATGGATTTCGGCATCAATGCCACCCAGATTAGCTGTGTGCTCCTGAGCAGATTACCCAATGTACCTGAGCTGAGACGGTTGTAAAGAGGGGATGATGACCATACCTACCAAAAAAGATGTTTAGCAGAAACTGAAAGGTGACATAGAGTGTATTTAACATAATGCCAACACTGGCGCTGGTGCGGCCAGCTGGCCTGCCCCACTCCTCATGGCACGAGGAAGCCTGGCAGGTCTGTTCTTCCCCTGGAAGCATCTATCCATCTGTGCCCCGCAGCTCTGCTCCTCTTGAGATGGGAAATATCCCAGGGTCAAGTTTCACTATCTGTCAGGTCCTGAGGATCAGCATGGTCGCCCAGGATGTGACCTGTCTGAAAGCTCACTGGATACCGAAACCAACAGGTAACGAAAAGGGAGAGGAGGAGCAATCAGGGACTTCCTGATTCTTTGCCTTCTCCTGTTTCTGTGACAGCTCACAAAGCACCACTGCCAACTCTCCTGTGAACAGACACCACGTGTTCCTGCTTGCACTGGACAAGGAGACAGCCACGGGCAAGCCACAGAAACAAGCCATGGGTTAAGACCTCTAAACACAGAGCAGAAGTAATGTAAAGGTTAAGGTAACAGATTTTACGTAAGATAAAATCTGTTCTGCATAATTTCTTAGAAAGGGTAAATACATATGTGAACATAGGAGAAACTACACCAAGAACTTCTTTTTATTTATTTTTCACATGCCTTTGACAAGGATGCACACTAAGGCAAGGTCATTCTTTTTTTTGGGGGGGGTGGTGCCAAGAATTAAACTTTGGGCACTTGGCCACTAAGCCACACCCCAGCCCTATTTTGTATTTTACTTAGAGACAGGGTCTCACTGAGTTGTTTAGCGCCTCGAATTTTCTGAGGCTGACTTTGAACTTGTGATCCTCCTACACGATCTTCGTATCTCAGCCTACCCAGCCACTGGGACTACAGGCGTGTGCAACCACGCCTGGCTTGTGAGATTATTCTTTGACAGTTACAGTAAACAGAATAAAAACCTTAAATGAGAAACAGAATCGCTGTACATTGGTGTCACAGATCGGAGGGAGTCTCAGCTAGGCACCCAGCTGGGTCGCCTTGGGGAGATCACTTCACTGTTTTGAGACAACAGCTTCCTGGATTTCTGAAATAAGGATGTGGGACCAGACTGCCTCTCCCTTGGTCATGTGAATTTTATGAACTCCCACACCCAGGATGATCTTCAAAGAGGAAGCACCATGAATTCTCCCTGTTTGTAGGTGACACGGAACCCCTGAAACCCCATGGGGTGAAGTGCAAAAGGTCTGGAGGAAGTGGTAGGAAGGTGGCAACTGTACTTCCCAGAAGGCAGATGCAGGGGGAATGTGCTGAGGGGAAGATCATGCAGATTCACTTGAATTTGATGGCCCTTGTGCCATCAAATGATATGGAAAAAGCTGCACATCCCCAGGCCTCCATTGGTTTTAAAGAGCCAACCCAGGCCAGGGCACCATTCAGGGTGAAATCTGGAAGCAAACCAGAAGTCCCCAGCCTGTTCTCTATATAAAATCATCCAAAAGCCTCTAAAACTCAAGAGAAGCAAAGCATTAAGAGAATGATCAGAGGGCTGGGGTTATGGCTCAGTGGTAGCCTGCGAGGCCCTAAGTTTGATCCTCAACACTACATAAAAATAAATAAATAAATAAAGATGATTCATGTCCAACTAAAAAATAAATATTAAAAAGAGAGAGAGAGAATGATCACAGAAAGACAGCATTAGGCTACTACAGAATAAGGTTTCTCAGCATAGATCTGCAGATATGGTATATGACCCAATGCACAGAGGGGAAATAAGACCTTTTCACCAAATTCCAGGGCTTGAATCCTTCAAGAGACAACATACAGATATCTAACAGGAAGGGCTTCTAATACCCGGGCAGCAGATATCTGGAATACATCACAACCAGGGAGAGGCACAGAAGGAAACAGGAAGACCTTTAAGAATGGTTGATAAATGGGGTGATAAACTGTGATGTTTCTAAGGGATGTTTGGGGGTTCACTGACCATTTTTAGCTTAAAAATCTGATAGTATAGTCCTACCCTCACACTACACAGCCTTTACCCCCACTAATGGAGGCAGGACAAGGCAGGATGAGCCACAGAGCTTCTTGAGACAGGCCCTTTTGTGGGCTCTGAACTCCTGCCTTGCCAAGTAAAGAGAACAGTCATTTTCTTTTGCCTACCTGAATGAGAAAACAACAAAGCAACTTTACCTCAGTTAGGCTACTTATAAGAGGTTCAGGAGCCAAATTCCAACTGTTTGTTGGCAATGGAACTGACTTCTGATGTCCCAAAATGCCATGGACCCCCTTTTACTTTGAGAAAAGTACAAATACCATAGAATTAAAATATTTTTTAAAACCTAGTCATATTAAAAATTCCTTTTTTTCTCCATCAATCAGGCTGACCCAAAGCTGCTTTCCTGTATCTCAAAGGTTCCTTAGAAGAGTATGGCTAATCATGACCCTTATCTTTTCTCCCTTTTCTCCACATATAGCGCCCTTCCATGGGCAGAATCCTAAAATAACAAGGAGTCCGGATTAGCATAGCTGTGAGGAGTAGGTGCTTAGCTGAAGAACATTAGAATTAATTAGAGGTCGGACCCCATACAGAGCCACCTGGTGGGCATGGACACCAAGAAGGAACGGGTTGTTTTCTTCAACCAAGTGCTACCCCCTCCCCCCAATTATCTCTGCTTCAGCTAGTCCCACATACTGCACGCCCCCTGGCCCGGAGGGCAGGAGCACGGCGCCCTCACCTTTCAGCAGGTCCGGGTGCACGTAGCCCAGCACGTCCGAGACCCCCAGCTCCTGGCGGGAACAGGTGCCTCCGTGGATGTGCAACCAGGCAGGCTCAGCGAGGGCAGTGCACAGCGCCGTGATAGACAGGGCGCCAGGCAGGGCCGAGGCCAGGCTACGCTCCGGCTGCTTGGGCAGAGCGCTGCCTCCCGGACTCCTCCGCCGGCGCCCGCCGGGCAGCCCTGCGCCTCCAGGGGCATACATGCCCGGGGCTGCCCACCGTCGCTCTGCGGTCGCTGCTGGTCGCCGCCGACCTCCGCGGGGCGCGCAGAGCCTGCCTGTCCCTGTCCCGGGAAGGAGAGCGATGCACTGGGTTACCGGCGCGAGGCTGTAAGAGCCGAAACCAGGGGGTGGGGGGTGGGACCCAGGGCGGAGCGGAGGCTGGAGGACTGCGGGATTCGGGGGGCGGGGACGGGGGACTCTGGATTAGAGATGCGGGACCTAGGCAGAGAGACGGTCGGGGACCAGGTGGGGTCTGGGCACACCGGGACAGAGAAGGCGGAGGTACTGGGGATCGACCACTGGTGGTGGTATGTCTGCACCCCGGACTCGGGGCCAGAAGGTGCCCAGGGTCGGAGGACGCGGCTGGGCCGCGGGGATCCGGGACCGATGGTCGGGGACCGGCATTTTGGGGTACAACCTGCGCGGAAAAAAAGACCCTCCCCATTCTGCCCCCTGCTTCTCACCGGTTAGCAGGCCTCAGGGCTGGAATGGCGCCGCTCCGCCCCGTCACGGGCTTCTTAGCTGCCGGGGGCCGAGCTATCCCAGGCCCCAATCCCGCAACGCCCAGACCGACCCGGTCCGATGCACTTCCGGCTTCCTCCTCCTGGGCCACCACCTCCTCCGGCGTCGGGCCCCGTCCCCCGCGCGCGTCACGGCGTGCGCGCGCCGCCGGCTCCGCGCAGGGCCTCACGGGACTTGCAGTTCGCTGCAGGCCCGCTATTCTTCTGCCGTGTGTGGGGCGTAGCAACTACAACTCCCAGAGGGCCGCGCGGCCGCGGGCCCTTCAGTTCCCAGGACTACCCCGGCCAGCGGGCGGAAGCCGGAGCTTCGGAGGCCGCTGGAGCCTGGAGCTGGCGACACCACGACGTGCGCCTTGGGACCTGCTGTCGGCGCGCCAACTGCCCACCACCTCTTGCCCCGCGCCGCCATGAAGGACTCGTTGGTGCTGCTTGCCCGCGTCCCGGCGCACCCCGACTCCCGCTGCTGGTTCCTGGCCTGGAACCCCGCGGGGACCCTGCTGGCTTCGTGCGGTGGAGACCGTAGAATCCGCATCTGGGGCACCGAGGGTAAGGCCTGGCCTGGCTGCTTGAGCCTGGCGCATAGTGTGAGTGCCCGGGGAGAGGCGATTTTCAAATGGCTATCCGGAGACGAGCTCGTCAAAGGAAGGAGTCTGCACGTACTGGCGCGTCTGCGGACCGCTACCGAGGGTGGTCGGATGGTAGCCTGTGGAGTGACTTGCAACTGGATGGGAGCGTTTAAATTTTATCTTGAGGTCATTGGGGAATGTTGACAGTTTCACATTGGGAGGGTGAAGCCTCAGAGTTGATGTGGAAGGCTTCTTCCAGAGGAAGTAGTCAATTGCATCTTCATTAAAGCACATTGTTAAACTACACCGATTTGGCCTGGTCGGACAGCAGGCTCCAGGTATAGCTTCTGTTATTGAATGGCAGTGACAGCGCTCCAACACCTTCTTGTGCATCCAGCTCCAGAGCCTGACCTGTCCTCTGCTTGCAGGTGACAGCTGGATCTGCAAGTCTGTTCTTTCTGAAGGCCATCAGCGCACTGTGCGGAAGGTGGCCTGGTCCCCTTGTGGGAACTACCTAGCCTCTGCCAGCTTTGATGCTACCACTTGTATTTGGAAGAAGAACCAGGATGACTTTGAGGTAACCAGGCTGCATGGGGCTGGAATCATTGTGTGCTCTCCAGGGCAGGTTTAGGAACCTGAGCCAACCTAGTTCAGTCAGGCTGTAAGTCAGAAGGCTACAGCCTTCACTTAGAAACTGTGACCTTAAGTTTTGGCTAAGTTCTAGGAGTCACAACTGCTGTTAATTCTCATTCCTTTCTCTTTTCAGTGTGTAACCACTCTTGAAGGCCACGAAAATGAGGTCAAGTCAGTGGCTTGGGCCCCCTCTGGCAACCTCTTGGCCACCTGCAGCCGAGATAAGAGTGTGTGGGTCTGGGAAGGTGAGTCCTGGTCCCTCCGGGTGTAGTGGACAACCAGCTCATAGACATCCCTGTGTCCATGACAGGATCACATCTTGGGCTCCTTTCTGTTTTTCTCCCATAGTTGATGAAGAAGATGAGTATGAATGTGTCAGCGTCCTCAATTCCCACACACAGGATGTCAAGCATGTGGTTTGGCACCCGAGCCAGGAGGTCAGAATTGGGCCAGGTCTCTTGGTGGGAAGGAACTTTGGCATGCAGGCTTGTGTCCAGCCTTCCTCTGCTCTGCAGCCTCTACTTGGCTTTTATAGGAATTTCTGTGGCCAAAAAGATTAGTCTTTGTATATAAACAGATCCCTGGGCCTGTTCTGGCAGGGGGAGGTATTGTAAATGACAGGTACTGCCTGGGCCATGCAGACAACTGCTGGATCTCCTTCCCTCCTCCCCCAGCTATTGGCTTCTGCTAGCTATGATGACACGGTAAAGCTGTACCGGGAAGAAGAGGATGACTGGGTATGCTGTGCCACCCTTGAGGGCCATGAGTCCACTGTGTGGAGCTTGGCCTTTGATCCCAGTGGCCAGCGACTGGCATCTTGCAGTGATGACCGTACAGTGCGCATCTGGCGTCAGTATCTGCCAGGCAATGAACAAGGTGAGGGTCCAGTCGTAGAGCTAAAGGGACAGACCCCTCCATCTAGAGGTGTGCTGTCTGATAGGACACATCCATGAACCATAGCAAACTCGGGTAAAAAGTAATGTGCCGCAAGAGGGCTGCAGGTGGTGCTGGGAGAAAGGGGGAAGGCTGTGCAGAACGGCCATCTTATCCAAATCTGAAAGGATAGGTAGGATTTTAACACAATGGGAATCTACCATGAGAAGAGAATGCAGAGTGAAAGCCCAACAGCACAAATAGAGGTTGGTGGTGGGAATGCCTAGACTTACATGAGGAATAGTGACACAGGAATTGGGGAGAAATAAACTGGGCTGGCTTGACTCTTGATGGCCTTAAAAGGCCAGCTAACTAGTCAGAGCCTGCAGCAGAATAAGGAAATTTTCTTCTCATGAGTCTGCTTTCTGGCCAGTGCGTAAGGCAGATAATGAGGATGGGGACAGGATTAGAGATAAGGGCAAATGATGGTTTGAAGGTTGGGGTGAGGGAGGGCAAGATAGGTTTTCCTCTGCAGTGGTGCAGTGACTCCCCAGAGGTCCCCAGGACCTAGACACATCTGGGGCTTAAGAGAAGTCTGTCATGCAGGGGTGGCATGCAGCGGTTCCGACCCCAGTTGGAAATGTATCTGCACTTTGTCGGGCTTCCACTCCAGGACCATTTACGACGTTGCTTGGTAAGACCTCCGTCCCCGACTTCCCCATCTACCATAGGAGGGGTTTTAGAGATGTCAGAACCCTGTGCTGCCCTCCACCATCTCAGGAGTATGTGGGAATAAAGAGCAGCTACCCTGATGGCTGTCAGATCAGGCCTGTCACCTGGGTGCAGTGGTACCCATCTGTAATCCCAGTGATTTGAAAGGCTGAGGCCCTAAACAGCTTAGCAAGAAGACCCTGTCTCAAAAATCATCATCATCATCATCATCATCATCAAAAAGGTGTTGGGTATGTAGCTCAATGGTAAATTGACTCTAGGTTCAATCCCCAGTACCCCCCCCCCCCAAAAAAAAAAGTTAGGCCTGTCTATGTGTTGGCTTGAAGTTGGCTGGCCTAGTGCTTAAAGGAGGAGGGAGCAGACTTAGACCCAGGCCTGTCCCAAGATTAAGATCCCAGACTGTGAGGGCAGCATCAGCCCTTAGGGCTTACATCATCCTGGAATTTGTGAATTTGTGAATGGGGTCTTTATTGTTTGGTAATAATGGAGGCTAGAAAAACCATACCATTCCTACAGGAGAAGAGGTCAGAGAGCAATTCTGACCCTGAGAATTGGATCTAGGAAATAATTCTAAACCATGAAGAAAATTGCTGTGCATCCAAGCTTTATGTATATTAGCAAACATTTGAGAATAACAAAATTCAACAAAAATGGATTTACATAAATTATGGTAAAATTCAATAGCCTGTTTAATAACTGTTTTAAAAAAGGTTAAGAATACTTTATGACATGGGCAACTGCTATGCTACATGAGAAAAGTTCCATTAAGAATTGTGTGTAGGTTAATTATTTACTTCAGGCTAATTATATCAAGGGAAGCTGAGCAAAGCGGAGCATACCTATAATCCAAGACTCAGGAGGCTAAGGCAGGAGGACTACGAGTTTAAGACCTGCATGGACAATTTAGGGAGAGCCTTGTCTCAAAAAGTAAAAAGGGCTGGAGATAGAGCTGAGTGGTAGAGCACCCCTGGGTTCAATTCCTAGTTCTACCAAAAAAATTTTTTTGTACTGAAAGCTAAATCAAAGCACCTGAAGAGGGCCATGGTTTGGCTCGTAGATGGGAAAGCTCTTCCAGAAAAGTTTTTAGTCTTCCAGCTAAGGCTGGAGGTTTGGGAAGACAACAGGTACAGGAATTGCCAGGTCAGGGAGGCAGGAGCAACCTGCAGACCTACTGGTGTCTCTGTTCCTCCCAGGTGTCAGCTGACAGGGGCCCTGGCCACTGCTTGTGGGGATGATGCCATCCGGGTGTTTGAGGAGGACCCCAGCTCAGATCCACAGCAGCCCACCTTCTCCCTGGCTGCCCACTCGCGACAGGCCCATTCCCAGGATGTCAACTGTGTAGCCTGGAACCCCAAGGAGCCTGGGCTCCTGGCTTCCTGCAGTGATGACGGGGAGGTGGCCTTCTGGAAGTATCAGCGGCCTGAAGGCCTCTGAGCTACTACGACTTTGGAGTAAAGGTTCCCCAGGAAGCTGAAAGACTTCTAGTCCTCGGGGACCTGGAAAAGCTTGCTTGACCTTCATTTAGCCTGGCTCACCTCTCCTGAGACCTGCATGGCAGTGTGGAACCACAGGACTTTCCCTCCTTGGTCCATGAGGACCTTGGTAAAGAGCCACAGGATGTCTACATTGTTAGCCACAGAGTTTGTCTGCTTTAGGGGACAGTGTGTTACATTTTGGGGGATGAATATAATATTTATAATCACGGCATACGTGTGTGTGTTTCTGTATGTAGGTGTGCAACAGGGAGTGTACTTCAGACCTTCCTGACAGTGTGAGCTTTATAGAACTAATCCATTCAAGTCCAAAGTCCTATTTCATGAAGACATTCAATCTTTCCCATTGTGGACTGTCTAAGTCCTGCTTTCCCTCAGAAAACCTCACATACCTCTTGTGCCATTATTCTGATGCCAACAGAGGAAATGAAAAAATAAATGGGAAAGACATGAGCCCCAAAAGGGAGAATTATATTTGGCCACAAGCCATACTTTCTCAGTAAAGATGAAAATTGGGTCTCAACTTGTTGAAAACCATGGGTTTGGATGTGTTGGTTGTCCCCAAGGCACAGCCTTCATTCCGCTTGTTACATTGTAGAACTTGTAATCTTAGATTTTGGAAAGGTATCTAGAACACTTTTCTCAAGATCCTGAGACTCTTTTGGGGATTGGTACTGAGCACAACCATGGTAGTAACCCCTAACTAGTAGTAGTAGTTGTCATTGCCTGGCACCTACAGTAAACACACTGATGACTTCACCTAGACGTGGCCTTAATAGAAGCAGTAAAAATGGTTAACTGTATTAAATGTTACCCTTGAGAACATTTATAACACTGAGAAAATGGGAAAGAAGCATAAAGTACTTCCTTCCACAGTCTCAAGTGTGGCTGTCTTGAGGGAAAGCATGTGTTCAGTTGAGTCACAAGCTGTTAGCTGCAGTCTGCATGGCACACCGTTTTTACTAGGAAGACTAGCAAATCCTAGTATTGGGACTTGGTTATTTGACTGACATCTGGAAAATGAAAAGATGAACCATTTATTGTTAGTAGTCACTGCCAATGATAAACTGAAAGCTTATGTCAGAATAAGAATAAGAATTTCTGAAAACTTTTAGAGCCACCACTATGAGCTTTACTAGTATTGCTTAACAAATGTGATTTGTGTAATGAAAGGTATTGACATTTCAAAGATCTGTCATTCAACAAATTACCATTTTTCTTCTCCCTGATTTGTTTTGGAAGGTTTTTTTGTTTGTTTGTTTGTTTGTTGTAAAACATATAACAGTGGGGGGGGGGGGCTGAGGCTGTGTGGCTCAGTGGTAGAGCGCTTGCCTAGCATGTGTGAGGCACTGGGTTCAATTCTCAGCACCACATATAAATAAACAAATAAAGGTCCATAATCTTTTTATTTATTTATTTGTGTGGTGCTGGGGATTGAACCCAGGGCCTTGTGCATGTAAGAAAAGCACACTACCAACTGAGCTATATCCCCAGCCCAAAGTCCATATATCTAAAAAAAAAGATATAACAACGATGAGGTTATTTTTAAACAAGTTGTTTTAAAATTTTAAATATAGCAAGTAAAAAAAGAACATAACCTCAATAAAAAAAAAAAAAAAAAAACAAGAACTTTGGTTTAATTTTGTACAGTGTAAAAGGGGTTTTGAGACAACTGCCTATCTAAGGAAATTGCCCTATGGAATCCACTCTCATTACTGGGGCTGGAACCCAGGGCCTCACACGTGGCAGGCAAGCATTCTACCAGAACTACATCCCTAGTGCTTATCTTAAGTACTTAACACACGGTCTCCCTAAATTGCCAGGCTGACCTGAAGCTTGGAATCCCCCTACCTCAGCCTCCCCAGTAGCTGGGATTACAGATGCACACCACCATAGCCAGCTACCTTTTATTATTTTTTAAAATATATATATTTAGTTGTTGATAGACCTTTATTTTATTCACTGATTTATGTGGTGCTGGGAATCAAACCCAGTGCCGCGTAAGCTAGGCAAGTGCCTTGCCCCTGAGCCACACCCCTCAGCCCAATACCTTTTAATTTTGATCACATTTATTCCTAAAGAACAGAAGGCAAGAACTTGAAGAGACTGAGGTGTGCATTACAAAACCAGTTTACAAGCCTTGTTGCGCCCAGCTGTGCATTTTAACCCCTTCTGGGACTGCGTTTCACAATGCAGACCTGAGAACCCTCTGAGTCCTACCTGCTGGATGGAGGGGCTCCTGCAGCTGGCTGCTGTGTAAGGCACTGGTGTGTGTATCACAGCCCAACTGAAAAGAAGCTACCTGCCCATGTTTCTTCCTCTAGACTAAAACCTAACTAAAAGGCAGGTCTGTCCTCCACAAGTCCTCGATTATCAAGTTCAGTGGCTAGAACAAATCTTTTGGCCAAGGCCCTTAGGTTGGAGAAAGCAGCTTTTAATTTGGAACTACTATAAGGACAAGTAATCTCTCCAAGTTATTTATTAGACTGTCTGACACAAAAGGAACTACAAAGAACATGCCCCCAAACGCTGGACATGGTTCATATTGAAACAACATGTGCCAGATACTGGACCCAGAGCTTGGACTTCAAGGTGGAAAGGGGAAAGTGCAGGTGGGCTGGGACAACTCCAGCCCTGACTGGCTAAATTTCAGGCAAGACCAGACACCTGGTCTCACAGCCAGGATCCCTCAACTGCACACATTCTTGACTCGGGCTGAACTCTCTCTGAAGTAACCACTCAGGACTCAATCAGAGTCACTGTCTGTCTCGGCTTCTTTCACATCCACACTGAATTTGTACTCCTGGTCACAGCCCATGTAAGCATCACTCATGAAGTAGAGGGTGTAGTTGTGAGCACCAGTGGCTGGGGCCACAAAGTCCAGCTTCACCTAGAAAGAGCAGCAGGGAATCAGGACATGGCCCCAGGGGAAAGTGTTCTCACCCTGCCCCCACCCAAGACAGATGTAGGGCCAGTGGCCACTCACCTTGGCCTTCTGCTGCAGGGTCAGCCTCTTGATGGAGATGAGGCTGTTGGACTTGGCATCTCCGATCACCACCCACCAGCCCTCTTCACGTTTCTGCAGTGACCAAAACCCAAGAATTTCAGCATGTCAAACTGGATGGCTATAGGCAGCTGTGAGAATGGTCACAACACCAGACACATTCCTGGTGTTCCTTCTGGTAATGCCAATAGATAAAAGATTTTGAAACCATCAAAAGGCCCAGGGGTTTGGAGGATAGTTAATGGCTTGCCTACCACTGTAAAGCCCTGGCTTCGATCCCCAGCACCACAAAAATAAAGTGTCTCAAAGGCTTTCATCCTGCAGTAGGCAGATAACCTCATCTGCTGGTCCTAGCTCATTTCCTCCCCCAGGATACCTCCTCGTTTAGTATTTGCCTTTGAATCCAATGCCACCACCAGAAAGCTCATCTTGGGGGGGGATTTGTTCCTCAGAGTCCTTTTTAAGCACAAAGCAAACAGGCCAGAGGAGAAATCTTAACCTGGAGACAAACCTGCCACAGAGGATTCAAGGCAGATTCTTCTGAAGCCCTGCCTGGGGGAGACGCCCTCTCTGCTGGCCACTCTACTGTCAGAGCCCCCGTGGCCTAGTTTAATAAGCTCTCCTCACAGCCTGCTGAACAAATCAGCCACAGAAATAAACGTGAAGTTCATCTGGCTTCTGTGGCCAGCCTACAATAATTCTCCCACAAAAAGAGGATCAGATTTCCTTTCTGGTGGTAGAGAAACAAGCAACTAGATGCACAGTGAGTGGGAACAACATACAAGAAAAGTGTCCTGGAGCCATTTAAAACACAGGAGATAACATTCAAGAGACTGACAACACTACCCCAATGTTTTTAATAATGATGTCGTCTAAGTTGTTCCAAAAGCAAGCAGATAACCCCATGGCCCCTAGAGGAGTTTTCAGCCTTGTGAGTTAATTTTCACTCACTTCCCTCCTGTATGGGGAAAGCACACCATGCCCAGAACAGGGCCTCACCCTAACACCAGGATGTACCTGTGGGAAGAGAGGCGCAATAACAGGGCCTGTGACTTCCTCCTCTCGCTCCAGCTGCACCAGAACCACCACTGGCCCACCACTGTGGGGAGAGCAGGGCAGCACATGAGTGATGTGGCCGTGGCCTCTCGGCATAGTGTCATGCCGTGCCCACGGGGACCCAGGGTGGTGCCTGGCTCACCTGCGGATGCTGTCTTTGTCCACCACCTCATAGGACAGTTCGATATTCGGGTAGCGGTTGCAGAAGCGGGCTACATCGGCGATCTGGCTATCCGTCAGCTGCAGCAGCGCGTTCCGCTCCTCATCCTCCATCTCCATAATGTCAAAGACGCTTTCCACTCCCTGTCGTGGGCGCACAGAGGTCAGAGGAGGACACAAACCACAGCGAATGGCCCCAGCTCCAAGGACTGCTGTCTTGACTTCCCACACTAGCCGTGTCTGAAGGTGCTCTGGGAAGAACAGCCCATGGCTGGCAGCCTCCAGCATCTGGAAGCTGGGCCCTCGGGGAACCACAACTGCACTTCCCCTGCTGAGACCTCCCATGGCCCTCCCAGAACAGGATTCTGGGCTCTCAGGCTCACCCCCCAGCACTCCAGGCCACCCAGCCCACCTTGTCTGTGCAACGTTTGATGTGCTCTGAAGTGAAGTGTGGCAGCTGCTTCAGATATGAGTCCTTGGACCACATGGCCTGAGTGACCATCTGGGCCAGTTCCATGGCTGCCAGAGCAGGGCTGAGCCATCCATTGCTGGACAGCACGTCCACACAGGCCTGAATGAGCCGGATTGCCTGAATACGGGCAGAGTACAAGAGCAGGCGGGGTTGGAAGCGAGGCTTCCCAGGCTGCCAAGGGCCCACCGACCCCACCCCAGCAGCGCCATGCCACCTTGCTAAGGATCTCCTCAGTATCTGACTGCAGCTCGGCACTCAGCTGCATGCGGGACAGGTGAGCCTGCAGGAGCAGGTTGGTCTTCACGTGTGGATCATTGAATTTAGGGTTATTCAGCTTGTGGGGGACCTTCTGAGCCAACTGCAATGAGGAAGAAAAGAGGTGGTGCTGAACAGGTGACCCTGCCTGAGACACTTAGGCCAAAGACACTATGTGGTTTAGACCATGGAGGGTGAGGGTAGGGAGGAGGGTGACGGTAGGGAGGAGGGTGAGGGTGGGGAGGGAGTGATGTGTGGGGAGCGGGGT